TATTTTTCAATATTTACCAGCTTGTTGTAAATTGAAAATAATCCATTGATTTTTCTCAAGAGAGAATTCAGTTTTTGTAAAATAATGTAACCAAATAAAGTTATTATGAGAATTATTCTTATTACTGTCAGTTTCTGAAATCCATGGTGTTACCGAAATATCCGTCCAAGTTATGGTAAAATTGGGATTCGACTCCGTAGTATAGCTAACAGGAATATAATATTCTTCCTCATCTAACTTGTTGCGAAATTCTACCGATACGCTTACAACATTAGTAGAATAATTTCGCGTCACCTTCAATACGGAAGGATATTTCTGCATAATCCACGAATTTATCGCATCTTTTATTTTAAAATCATACATATAATTCAATTCAAACATCTCGGATCTCATTGCGTTCCATAAATGTTCGGCAGTTTTTGCTTCAGGCTTACTAAGTCTATAAGATTTAAAATTATAATAATTTTAACACTATATTAAAAATGATAAATAAATAATAAGAAAAAAGGTCATAATTTACATACACACACACATGTGTGATCTTTTTTCTTATTATTTATTTATCATTATATAAATTAATAAAATAAATTTAATAATATATTTCCAGCTTTTTAATATTTAAAAGACATAGATATTTAAAAACTATATATATATATATATATCCATTTGTAATTATGCTAGCATTTGTCGTGACTGAATACATAATAATTTTAATTTTTATATTACAAAAAGTGTTTATATTCTATGTTTGTAAAACTAGATTCTCAAAATCATTCCATTTGAATTATTTGTTATTTAGAAAATATGAATATCTATTATACATATATTTATTAAGAAAAAAGTTGAAATTCAATCTTAACAAAAATTCATAAATACTCGTATAAAATAGCAGTATAAATTTAAGCTTTTAAATATCTATGTCTTTTAAATATTAAAAAACTGGAAATATATTATTAAATTTATTTTATATTTTGATTTTTTTTCTTTATCATCTATGATGTATATTATTACATTAAATTACATTATACTTACTGATTATTAAAATATTTCGCCAATCCCTTTGAAAATATACGAAGTGGTAATATTCGTTCTAACATGCGCCATATAATAGATCCTATAATGTTTAAAAAAAAAATAATTTATTATATTTAAAATCTTTTTACTAAAATATGTAATAAAGGATTTTCAATATATTTGTAACTAATAAAACTAAATAAATCACATACAAAATTTGTGCAATTAATTCAAAGTAAGCAGCTATGAAAAATTGTTAAATACATTTTAACAAAAAAATTTGTAATAATAGATAAATACTGAATGATTAAAAATTTGTTAAAAATAATAAATTATATATTAAATAGACAATTATAAGGAATCAGTTAAGTTAATTTTATATTTCATTATGATTTTTTGAAATCTTAGACAAATATGTATAGTTATAATTTAAAAAAATTACACATTACAAAATTATCCAGAAATTATATAAAAATTTAATTTTAAAGTTAGATATAATTACGTTATTGCAAATATTATAAAAAATATATTAAATTTTACAAATGAAGGGCACCATTCTTCCTATGGAAATTGAATTTCGGAGATATTTAAATTTTGATTGAATTTGCTGAATTTTTGAAATAAGTAGTTTACGTGAAAACACAATAAAAATTTAAAAAACGTCAAAATAAATTTGATAAGGTTGATGGAGTGGTTTTGTCACTACAAGTATTCAAATCTCGAAATAAAGCGTTATTTCAATACTATTAAGGAAAAGTAAAGTTTTATTTATACATTTTACTAATACATTTACATGGAAAAAATGTATGTGTAGCATTGCCGCTGTCGTCGCCAACATGCTATTTGATATTTAATAAAATATAATTAGTTAAAAGTATAATTATTATATAGGTTTTCCCTAAATATCCCTCTTCGGATGGGAGAGAGATACAATTTCTCTAAATGCTTTAAAGACTAGCCTCTCAAAATAATTAAACATCTTTTCATAATTTTTCGTAATATTTGAACCCTTTCTAAAATATAGTAGATGGGATATTTATGGAAATATGGATCCTATTATATGTACATTTATGTATATATTTTCCACGTAAATATAATAATATCTATATAATAATAAAAGTAAACAACTGTGTGTGATTTTACTCAATAATACATTATTTATTTTTCCTCAGTAGTAATGAAATAACGCCTTATTTCGACATTTGAACATTTGTAGCCACAAAATGGCACTAGCAAACGATATTGCGATTAATGTGACTTTTGATTGACCACAAATTATTTATTTCCAGAGTTTGTGCAAATTTCACCAAACTTTAGAATTCATCTTCCATAAAATTCTTATGAGGTTTTTTGTTTATAAATGACTTTTCTCATTTCTTATGAAATTAACATTCGAAAATTTATTTAATTGTTTAATTTATTATTTAATTATTTAATTGTTTAATTATGCAATGTTATACGCATACCTTTAAAATGAGAAAGAGAA